CCCCCCCCCCCACCCATATTCACAGAATGAATGAAGCAGAAGCAGGGAGATCCTTGCACTGCAGGTCCTCAGGTACGGCTTCCCCTCCAGCAAGGAGAACAGTGAGCAGCACAGTGATGACATCACCAAATCACAGAACAAGTCTGGTGAGACTCACAGAGGCAGCCGTGCCTGAGATGATCTCACACTGCAGATCTACAGCTATGAGGACGCAGAACCAGAGAGCCCAGGTACAGGAAGGGCTCTGCTATTTTTAGGAGGAACCCAAGACAATAGGGCAGGGGTAGGCAACCTTGGCTCTCCAGCTGCTCTAAAACTACAAATCCCATAAGGCATTGCAAGCCACAGGCATGACTCGCAGAGGCAGAAGCATGCTGGGATTTGTAGTCTCAGCACAGCTGGGGAGCCAAGGTTGCCTACTCCTGCAATAGGCAGAGTCATTTCTTTGCGGGCCGACTCCCACCCCTGTAGCTGCTGTGTTTCCTTTAAGGAAAAATTGGAGTGTTCCTTTAAATCTTAATGCCGCCCCAAACAGCTGACTACACAGGTGAAGTACACAACGATGTTGGACGCTGACGGTCGGCGCCGCGCAGTCCTGCATTCTGATGCTTTGTTGTTCCCGTCAGTTTCTTTCAGAAATGAACAAAGAATGTGAGGCGTTTGCCAAGGAGTCCGGGGTCACCCTTCCCGAGTCCTTCTCCCTGGAACCCGCCTTCCAGGGCATCTATCAGAACGGCGGCATCAATAAGCCCATGCTGACGGCCGCTATGGCCCTCAAACGGCACGGTAAGATCAGCCAAGCGCAATCGCTGTAAGCTTTATAGGAAGTACCTGAAATAAGAACTTTCTGTGTTTGGCACTCTGAACTCTCGACGATTCCTCAATAAAAGTTCAATAAACTATTTTCTCCCGTGTGAGTGACAGAACGGGTATGAAGAACATGGTGGGGACTATACCATTGTAGGCGGCGCAGCTTATATGAGATGTTCCAGTAATCTGAGAATGTTGTTTCCTAAAGCAGAGAAGTGTGAGAAGGGGCCCCCGAGGTGAACGTCCGGGAACAACCTTCAAATATTGGACATGTAACCATGGAAACGGGGAAACTTCATAAGAGTCACCTGCTATCTTCTGACCCGTGTCCAGCCGGACTCCTTATATCTACAGAGGTCTATGGTTTGGCCACCGGCCAGACTACCAGGGTCGCAGCGCTCACATTTGCGACCGCGGCCTGGTGCTCCGCCTCTTGGGGGACGGGCCCCCCGGTCTGAAGGGGCGCCGGGCAGGGATTTTTCCCCAGTCATCGTCCAGGGCAGCCTCTGAGAGATGGGATCCTCCCACCTGAAACAGGAAACACATCATCCACAATTAGAATAAAAAGGGCGGTCCCTCCTAACCACCTCAGTATTTTGTGTTTTTGTTCTCTACGTTTAGGGCCCATTCACACCAGTTGCAGTGCGTTGCTGCCCGATCCTGGTCGGAACTGCTTTGCTTTGCATTGCGGCCGGCTCACTTTTTAGTGGGGGGCAGGAGGGGGCGTGGCAGGCTATTGAAGTGAATGGCACCTTGGGCCACACGGGATCGCAAGGTGCATTGTGCCTGCGGTCCGGTCCTGTGCGATCAAAATAGCGCTTGCAGTATTTTGATCGCACCGGAGACCGCAGGCACAGTGCGCCTTGCGATCCCATGTGGCCGATCGCATTGCGGCCGGAGGGCGTGGCTACGGGGCCATTCACTTCAATGGCCCGCCACGCCCCCTCCTGCACCAGAAAAAAAGTGAGCCGGCCGCAATGCGAGGCAGCGCGTTCTGGCCACAATCTGGCCGGAACGCACTGCATCTGCTGTGAACGTACCCTTAGCCCCGCTTTGGGCAGGCAGGGCTAAATAGTCTATACCACAGAATACTTTTTGTAGCATGAAATACTTTCCATCACCTGAGTGATTGCTCCGAGTCTGCTGGGACTGCGGACATCACATTGAAGACGTAGTTTCCCCCCGGAAGGGTAGATGTCGTCTTTGAACATTGTTCTCGGTGTGTGAATGTGCAGAGAATAAGCCGGTGTATGATTGGATTCACCCATTTACCCTCCTCCTACGCTGCAGGCTTTAAGACTTGCGTGCTAACCAACAACTGGGTAGACGACGGCGCGGACCGTGCGCTCACCGCGGACCTCCTCTCCGTGCTGAGCCGGCACTTCGACATGGTGATCGAGTCGTGCCGCATCGGAATGAGGAAACCCGAAACTCGCATCTACGAGTACGCCCTGAAGATGCTGAAAGCCGAGCCCAGTGAGGTGAGAGGACGCGTGTTACCGCCCCTGAGGTGCGGAGGGTTTCCTTAAAGGGGATTTGTAGTGGATTTGGCCTTTTATTTATTTTGTATTTTACGTCTCCCCCAGAACTGCATCTCCCCAGAGCCCTTTCCTAACACACAGTGGGTCCAATGAACTGTCATTTCAACATTTTTTTTTTGGCCCATGTGTGATGTGCATTTGACATGCGCCTCATAAACACTGTAGTGCGCCGCTGCTGAAGAGGATTGGTGACGTGTGCGCCAAAATCTGGGAAAACTATAAAACACGGGGAGCCGCGCATACGTGGCAGAGACATACTGCACGTGTTTTTTTCTGTTTGACGTTTTAAAGGACAACTACACTTTTACCA